TTTATTGTTCACACTACTTCTAGAAGACTGATCCATTTTTTTGCTATTATAAGACTCTCAAAGTCTAACTTCTACCTTCAATTCTCTGTCCCTGCTGAGAAGCAGATGCCACTGAAGAATCAGGCCTGATTCTGTCAAACAGGTAAAGAAGTAAACAAAACATGTCCTGCCACTCAGGAGTTTGCTGACTGTTGGAAGGACAGACCTATCAGATAATGTTGGAATAATGTGATAAGTGAGATAACAGGTATTCACCAGGGTATGTATAAGAATTCATAGGAGAAATGTCAGCTAATGTTCAAAGAGACTTATTTTAATTCCCTCCCATAAAAACCTTAAATGATTTTTAAGATTTACTGGAGGCCTTAAGAACATCAACTAACCACAGCTACCTGCAGTAAATCATAAATAGTCATAACTGGGTATAATTGAACTGTTTCTTGGTCTTAATATGTTCCTTCAATAAGACCCTTCCCCCTCACAGTTACTTATATTATTCCTTAAGCAATATCAATATTACTATATTATTTGACAATTTATATAATACTTTGACATCAGTTATTTCACTTGCTTCTCACAGGAGTTCTGAGAGAAAGCCAGACAGAGGCTACACATAACTAACAATATAAATTCAGTATCTGAACCTAATTCCTCTGACATTATTCCACCCCTGTCCTCCTGGCAACTTTCATTTATGAAAAGGAAAGGGCAAAAATGAGAACCAGCCAAGGGCTGATGGGAGAATCAGAAACTGTAGTCCAAACTGGAGGCTCCTGGGAAGAACTTGCAAGAAATACATGCTCACAGCAAAAGCAGAGCCAAAATGTAGGTCACTGGGCACTCAATGTAATCATCCCTCAGGAAGGGAACTAATGATTTCTATTCAAAGGAAGGCTATATATGTGGTCTTTATTATCAGCTGCATTCTCTAGAGAACAAGATGCTCTTAATATAAATGGAACCTAGGATGGTGGACTTTGGGAGAAAAAATGTAACCTTATAAAGAAGAAAGAAAGAAGAAATGAAGGAAGAAAGGTAGGAAAGAAGGAAAGAAGAGATTTAAGGAAGACTAGAGGATAACACTTATATGAACTGACAGTATCATATTGCTCATGATAGGATGAACACTCACTTCAATTACACCCACAAAATGAGGAGTCTTTCTCCCTCTCCTTCCCCTTCCCCCTCCCTCTCCCTTTCTTTCTCCATTATGGAAAAAGAGTACACTTTCTTGGACAAGCACATGACATAATAAATATTTGTTTTCTACACAGACTTCTGTATGCTTGTCTGTAATTTTAATGGGCACAAGTTTTGGAGTGGAAAACACAATTAGTAATGCAATAGCCCAAATGAGAAACATTGAGGCCCCAACTGGGGGTGAGTAGAGCTGCTCATCTAACAATCTGGCGACCAGCTAACCAGGTGACAGCCTGGATATGGCAGTGTCTCCAGGTGATTTGTGAATATGGATTCCTGTTTCCCTTCCTTCTCTTGTTTTCTCTTTCCCATCCTCTGAGTTTGCACCTAAACATACGGAGGCCACACCAGCAGCTCCACCCACTGCTTTCTGCTGTACTTATTCAGTTCATGACTAATGCCACCACTTTATAAGCATCTATTATGAAGATGTGGATTAAGACTCAAATGCTTTATATACATTATCACAAGAATACCTCATCACAACTCCTTAAAATAATGTTGCTGCCCCCACTTCCCAATAACCATAAGACACGAATGTTCACTCCACTTGACTGACCCAGGGCTTGAATCTATATTTGTTTGATTCCAAAAACTTTCAATCAACCGAGTCATCATTCCTTACCCATTTGCAACTTACAAAACAAGGACCCGGAAAATCTAAGGAGTTCAGGTCAACAAGGCCAAACACAAGAATCAATGAGAAAAATATAATTTAAGTCTGAATAAGTTTGGGTTGCAGATATCTATAGTACACATATCTTTTGTTTGATTTTTATATATTTTTTAAATTCATGTTTAGAGAGAGGAATTGAGAGGGAAAGAGAGAAAGAAACATGGATATGGGAGGAAAACATCAATTGGCTGCCTCCTGCATGCCCCCACAGGGATCCAGCCCAAAACCTGGGCATGTGCCCACACTGGGTATTGAACTGGCAACCCTTTAGTACATGGTATGATGCACAGCTAAGTGATATACACACATTCTTGCTGAGACAATTGCAACACAAATGACAATGAACAAACGGCATTATTTATACACATTTTTTTGTTTTGTTTTTTAGGGGGGGAAATGTAGACCTATCATCTAAAAAATGTGAGAGGCATAGAACAGTGGAGAACTAAAGGTGAAATCTCTGTGGCAAGGGGGATATGACACACAGAGGCATCAAAATGATACAAAGTGAGACATGGGCAAGGGTAGTGAGGTGAGGGGTTCACTGGCTTGGGCTCACTAAGAAAAATAAAGCAGGAGGGCTGCCACTGTCTTATAAGGCAGAGTGTCTAAAAGGCACATCTTAGAATTCTATTCAGTACTGGAAAGCACAAAACAAATAAACAAAAAAACCCTTTTTAGAGCAGGGAACAAGGTGTCTAATTTGAGCTCATATTTCTGTGCTGCACTTTATAAAACTTCTTCTCTTTGTCTAGCCCTCTTCAATTTATCTTGCCTCTGGGTCTGTTTTCCCTCCATCTGTCTGTGACACTCTTAGGTTTCCCCTAATATATTTAGCTGACTTTTTCAAGTAAAGAATTAAGTGTTTGCCAAGATGCCCCTAGAACATGCCAATTTATGCCTCTCTCGTTCTTTCTGTCTCATTCTTGCTCTCCCTCTCTGCGTTTCTTCTTACATAGTTCCTGTGAGTTGTTTCTCCTTCCCTAATCATTTTCCTTTCCTATGATTAGTGATTCTTCTTTTTCCTTTCCTGTTTTTTTCCAGTCCTTTAAGATATTTTTCTTCCCCCTACCCCTTGATGGAAGACCAGAAGAATCTTGTTCTTTTCAATCTGATTTTGAAGAACAATAAATAATGTTGGCTAGAAGTATTCCTGGACAAAGGAAAATTCACCTTAAGGACTCCACAGACTAGGAACCTTCTCATCTGCTCCCACAGTGACTAAAGTTGTGATTCTCAAACTTGAGCAATCTCACGGATCCCTAGAAGCCTTGTTGAAAGAGTCCTGGGTCTCGCCTCAGAGCCTGCAATGCAGCAGGTCTAAGATGGGTCTGGGGGTGTGCATTTCTGACAGGTTCCATGGTGGTACCCATTGTGCTGGTTCAGGGACCACACTTGGAGAACCACTCAAGTGAGAGGACCAACAGCAGTTGGGTGGTCAAGGCTCCGCTGAGCAAGGTAACACCTCTGCAAGGAATGGAGTTTTATTCCTTGTCCCAGCAACCACAAGACGTGGAGAAGCCTAAAGAACTCTACAATAGGGATCCAGAGGATGTGCTGGGGTGCAGCTAGGTGGGGGAGGAGAAATAGGGAAGCTCCATGTTTAACCTTCTGGGAAACACTGAAGCCAGCTCCAAGGCCTGCCAGCCACCCGCCCTCTTGTGATCTCACAATGAAGCAGCAGAAGGGAATTCTCAGCTCCTTTGATCCCTTCCCAGTCCCAAGTCCTTTGTCTGTTTATCTCCCTGTTCTCTGGCCTCCTCTTCCCTATCCTTACCCCCTGCCCAGTGCATGAGTCACTCCTCTCCTCCCAGCCCCATTGTCATCTGTTTTTCTAATGATGGCAGGAGATGAGCTGTTTTGTTGGCTGTGCCATCACAAAGCGCACTCCATGCTCGCCCTTTTCCTGATGTCCTCTCAGAACGCTATTTTATTGGTCTCCTTTCCCTTTGTCTCAAACCTACCTTTTCCCCTTCCTTGGCCTCATGTAGTCTCCAGCTTACCAGAAATAGATCAATATAAACAGAAATAAAGAAGATTGGGAGAAAAGGGTAACTAACATGCAAGTTGGTTGGGGGTGGGAGGGTGTTGGAAATCAACAGCCTTTAGACAGCTCTCTCTAGCACACAGCAGCCAGAATGACCCAAGTATATTGCTGTTAAGTGGCTTAATTACTTCCAGTGAGAGATTCGGAGGTCAAAACCTGGTGTGACTGAGACTAGAGGATTTGTATTTGTCACTGGCTCTTCCCAGGGTGAGAAAGCTTAAATGGTGTTTGCATGTGCTTTCTGGGTCATCCTCCATCAGTGCTGCCTCACTCATGACTCTTCCTTCCCATCGCACATGTTAATCTGGCTAAGGAATTCACAGCACCCTAGGTGCCCCAAGGCAGGGAATTCCCCATGTGAGGAAGTTGATAGGAGTCCTCAAGACAGTAAAGGTCTAGTTTGGTTTACTCCACAGCAAATTACAGGTCTACCCCAGAGGTGGGGAACACAGATGCCTGCCTAACCCCGGCAGAGGGTGAAAATAAGGTAGGAAGCCACAGGCCGAGGGGAGGAGCATGTTGACCCGAAGAACAGCTGCCCTTTTGGGGTTGTAGCTGCTACACAGATTCAGCTAATTGTTGCCAGATAGTCTTGTTTTTCAAGAGAAAAATCTTTGCACAAAGTGTTTCATATTTATTTTTACTTGGAGTATGTGTGCCTGTGTGTGTGAAATGTTTTATATACACATATGAATTTTATGTGAAAAATCCCAATTTTAAAAATATTAGCAATCAAAACAAGATTGTTTCAGACACTGTGTTGGCCAAATAAACCTGTCTGTGGGCCATCGGTCTGCAAAACTCTGATCTAATTAAGCTCAAACAAGGCCCTGTTAAAGAATCCCAAAACCATAAATAATTCTGATTTGCTTTTAACTTACTTTTATTGAGTCATTTCAAATGAAACCCTGGAATTTTGCTTGAAGAAAAGCCAAAATCAGAAATACTAATATCTGTAGTTGTAGGGTTGTAGAAATTAAACAAAAAGCACAGAATTTGAGAAAGGGAGAACCTTGCATTAGAAAGGCTAAAGGCCTGGAGTTAAGCAGAGAAGTGTGGGAAAGGGTGGTGACTTACCTCACAGGACTGGATGCAATGGATCAGGACAGGGTCTGGGTGCCACAGACGCCGCCCAGTACACACGATGCTCTGAAGACAGAAAGTGCAAACACTAAGACACCTGGTCAGTGAGAGAAGGGGCATGTCCTGTGCTTACCCCACAAGCCAAACCCCAATCCCTGAGGAGTGAGACACTGACTAGGACTCATAAAGCAGGTCAAAGCTGACGGGACTTTGCTGTGGAGCTGCTAGTCCTGCTGATGGTGCCACGGCACAAACTCTCAGTGGAAGGGACTTTTCATCCTCTTCCTCCTCCTTCTCCCTCCTTAAGGCATCAAACTTTCCAGAGCAGTGGTATAGGTGTGGTTTTAAAAAGCATCATCAATATTATAATGAGTATAAAGTGGTCTTAGGCATAATATTGATTTCATATGTTTTGCCATTTTTAATAACGTTACAAGAAATGGTGAGATGGCTGTGATCAGGAAGCAGCGTGAGTTTTTAAAGACTGAGAAATACAGCCTCACAAGAAGAGTCCTGAACCAGAAAGGGATCTCAGAAACACCAGATCATAAGATGTGAGCACCAGGCAAGCCCTGGAGGCCAAATGCACTCTGCAGCTCTGTGAGCACCACTTTCTCTTCCTTATAGGGAACAAAAGGGTCTGTGCCCTGATCAAATAGGGTTAATGTGAAACCACTGGGACTCAAAAGGGAACCAACCTTAAGCTGGTGAGTGTGAAAACACACTCACATTAGGACACAAGCTACTTTCTCATTCCCAATGGCCACTTCCAGATGCACATTTAAACAAACAGTCATCCATTCTTTGTTAAATGACAACTCATTTTCATTGAGCTTCTTCCTTTTAATTTTTGTATTTTAAAATTTCCAAAGACCCACCTCAGGAAAAGAGGAGGACCCATAGGAAGTTTTCAAAGAGACAGAGGGATTCTCTCCATAGCCTGCGACCCTCCCCACCCACCCATGTGCAGAATTTCATACTCAACATTTTTTTTAGTACAATAAAAATTCAGTTCAATGGTAAGAAAAGTAACACATGGGGAGATATGAATTTTACACAAGATAGCACCCTATTAATTGGAAATTATAGACTCTACCATGCTATGGCTACAGTAATCAGATTGCAGACATTTGCATATATTAATATGGGTATATATGAATAAAAACCTCATGGTCAGCTGTGAGAATAGGAATCTGCAATATTCTCCTGGAGTTACATGACTGTAAACTAAAACTCCTCTTTCACAGCTTCCCTAAAGGGAAGTAAACACAAAGAATCCTAACAAATTTTGATATTCAAAATTATTTATTGTACTATTGTAGAAGGTGCTTTGGCTTAAGTTATCATTGTGCTTTAATAAGAGGATTATTAAATTTATTCAGGACTACAGATATATAAGGTAACCCCAACAGGGAGGTTCAGCCTCCTGAGAAAATGAGCTGTTCTCCTGCACTTAAAGCCATGTAAGCAGACTACATACTTATAAGCTCTGCTACCTAGAAATTATTCTCATTTATGTTCTGACACAGGCACCAGTGGAACTCTATTACCAGGTAATGGTAATGAAAATGTACAATAACTTGTACCCTTGAAATGTGAATGCATGGCCACTGGCTTCCTTTTCTTAGCACTGTATCCACTAAGGATGCCCATTCCCAAACTAATCAATTCAGATTACAGGTATGCATCAGTTCAGATTCAGTTCAGGTCATAGATATGCATCTCAGTAGGAGCCAGGGATGCTCTCAGAGTGCTCAATGTCAACATCCTCCCACCAGACATTGAGCACTGTGAGAGCATTGACTGTTCACATGTGTACAGTCAACCCCTCCAATAAAGAAATACTTGGCTTTGAAACTGTCTCATGATGACCACTGCCAGACTCTCCAGAACACGCTGAACTTCATGTGTCGGCTTCTCTTCTACCCTCTAAGCATTCTGCCTGGTTCACCCCTTTTACAAATGTAGAAGTGTTTGGTTTATTTAAAACTTTAGAAATTCTCAAAACATATATTGCAAAGGAAAAACAAAAGAGAAAAAGATTCCATCTTTACTTCCAATTCTTTCTCTCCAAGGCTCTTTTCTGCTATTATTTCCAATTTATTTTTATATCTTTATATTATGTAATTTTATTTCATGATCATGTAATATCTGTAAAATATAAAAGTGTACATAACCTCTACTCTGCTCCTGTTCCCACTAACCATTTTCCTTCCTCCTACTTTTAGTTGTTTTCTATATCACTAGAGATAGTCTATGCATATACATATATCCTATATAATAAAAGGGTAATATGCAAATTGACGCTAATGGCAAAATGACTGGGAACAACCGGTCACTATGACACGCACTGACCACCAGGGGGCAGACGCTCAATGCAGGAGTTGCCCCCTGGTGGTCAGTGTGCTTCCACAGGGGGAGCACCACTCAACCAGAAGCCAGCTCAGGGCTGGCCAGCGCAGCGATGGTGGCAAGAGCCTCTTCCCGTGGCAGCGCTATGGATGTCTAACTAACTGTGGGGAACAGGCCTAAACCATTAGTCAGAGTCGGACACCCCCTTATGAGGGCTCAAGGGCTGCCAGAGGGATGTTTGACTGCCAGCTTAGGCCTGACCACCAAGGGAGCAGGCCTAAGCTGGCAAGTTGATATTCCCCCAAAGGGTCCCGGACTGCAAGAGGGCACAGGCTAGGATGAGGGACCCTCTCCACCCCCAGTGCATGAATTTTCATGTACAGGGCCTCTAGTATGTGTATATAATCCTTTCTTTCCTCACACAAGTAATAGAATACTTTAATTTTCTTCTGTGCTTTGGTCTATTGTTGTTTGCTTGCCTAACTATATTTCACTTCACAATGTTTCCCGGGTGTTCTGTGCATTTTATAGGAGCTGAGCTGCTATGTTCTCTTGACCACAGTGCTCCACTGCAGGGATGGACCCTAATTACTAAACTAGATCTATATTGATGGGTATTTTGTTCTAACAGACAAAATATTTTGTTCTAAGAGACAAAGCTTATGTGTAAATCATTTCACATGTGTACAGACACATCATCCATAGAATAAATTCATGGCTGTGGAATTAGCAATACCCATGTCATATTTTTAATGATCTATAATTAAGTCTTGTGACTCATTCAGACTGGCAGCCTTTCTTCATTTCTATAAAAACGCATGAGTTTTTTGTCCCTGTGTTTATGCCTTCCTAAATTTCAAAGTCCTTGAGAACTGAAACTGTCTCCCACTCATATTTCTTATCTCAGTGACACAGAGAGAAACAATGTTTTATGAGTAACTGTCAACCACTAAATATTATATGATGTTGTATCACTAGAGTTCTCCCTTGTCTTCTGGCCTATGACTGTCACTCATCCTGTAAGTAAAGATATGCATATAACATTATTGAACTAGTTATTGATCAAAATTGGAGGAAAATTTCAAATGCTTTTTAGGACCTAAATTTTATGGGCACATTTATAGTGGTGAGGTGAAAGAGGAAGTAGAAAAAAGGAGGCATAGAAGGTCTTGCTAAGTTTGTTAAATTCATTAAACAAGGGAACTCTTCTGCCATGGCAGTTTACATAGCAAGCCAACCAAAATCTAAGCTTGTGAATTCCCTCAAGGTCATGCAATTGAAACATAAGTACAGCCAATCACAATCTGCCAACCATGCTTTACACTATAGCCAATCAATTAATAACTTCCTTGCTTTGCTTCAGCCTTTTATCTGTAATAAAGTATTTCCCTGGCGGGGTGCTCCTAACTAGTCCACTGGAATTGATTTTTGCTCAAGTAAACTCAAAATTTTAAATACTTTGGTTTATCTTTTAACAGCTCAATCTATATGACTTTCTTATTTTCTGGAACATTTTTGGCAAATTATAATCATATATGATTACATTTGAATGGCTATAGAAAATAATTGAGACAATAACTTTATATCCTCTGTGCAACCTTATTAAACCCTAAAATTTTGCTCTGTCTGCTTCCACATTATAATAAGTCACTAAAGATTTAATTAATGTCCCCAAATGTGTCCCTCCATTATCATTCTCCTTCCTTCCTTCCTACTAGGTAAAACTATTTTGAATTTTTAAATTATTATTGCTATATATTTGTATGTAGCTACAACTATTGCTATGATACTATTGGCAAGTCACTGCTCAGATGAATTCATTGTGCAAGAAGAGCAGCCAATAATTTGTTTTGAACTTTCAAACAGAAAGAGATTCAGAGAAAATCAATTTAAATATTTGAGCCATTAAAGTTGGTTGGGCCATTAAAAAAAAAGTTTAAAGTAAGAAAAAAAGAAAAGGAGGAAGAATAGTAAAAGGGAGGACATGAGAGAAGGGAAGAAGGAGAGGGTGAGGGAGAGGGAGAGTGAGAAAGAACACCATTTAAGGGCTATTGGATGGTCTAAAGCTGTATGAAGGCTGTTGCCTAGTTAAATGCCTAAAGGTCACAAGACTGATGGTTAGCCAACAGTAAAATCTAACAAAAAAATTTTGCTCAATTGTGGGTTTTGTTTTGTTTTGTTTTGTTTTGTTTTGTTTCCAATAGTTGTTTGGCTCATCACATCAGACCACAGAGCTCTGCTGCTGCCTATGTTTATGGCAATTTCCTTATTTCTATAGATATAGCAACCTACTGTATTTTCCAGCTTATAAGACGACCCCATAATTTTACAGTTAAAACATAGGTTTAGGCCTATATTTGCTGTATAAGACTACCCCCCACTTCAAAGATAAGACTTACTTTGCCTTCAAGATCTGCAGGTAATTTTTGTGCAATTTTGGTCTTTTGCCCCCGGTTTTTGGTTGACTTTTTTTTGTTTCAAAAGTCGTCTTATACACCGTAAAATACGGTAAATTCAGCATTATTCTGCATATTTACTTGGGCCACTGTACAATACCCTGGCATCTACTTTTCAGGTCCTTTTTCTTTGCCCTCAAGGACCCTCTTGACTAGTCTTCTCTAACAATGAGAGATTCAATCCTTAGAGACATATTCAAAAAGAGTCAGCAATTCCATGCTTAAAACTGATGAAAAAGATGGCCTTTCCATGGCTCATGGAACTAGGCCATTTGTTTTCCCACTGATGGGGGGGCAAATATGACTGGAGCTGTCATAACTGTACCCTTTAACAGGACACTTTGGGGAGACGGTGGCAAGGATTAGGACATGAGGAGGCAGAAGGGTGGGTGACATCATTCTGTTGGAAATTATGGCTCCTGGAGAAAATGATCTTTTCTTTTTCTTCCTGCTTCTCTATTCCTCTTAAAACATTTTGTTTTTATTTTAGTAATTATTAATCCTATGGGGACCAATTTGAAAAACAGAGCCAGAAATTATAAGATTTGTTTTGAATGAACAATTCAGTTGAAAAACTGGGGAGTTAAGAAAGGGATTTCATGCATTGTTGAGAATTTGCAAACCTAACAAGTTGCAGCCACAGAAAAATCTAATTAATTTGGACCTCACTTCATTAATTTGATTTCATAATTATAATATACTAAAAAAAGAGAAGCATCGTCTGTAAAAAATAGATTTATGAAGCAAACTACTATGGGAAATAGGATGTTATGATGGATGCTCTTGTACTACAGAAAGAAACACTTTCAAATACAATTTAGAAAAACTCATTTACACCCAAACAATTGCCACGTTATACATAGAAAGTAATCTCTCCATGAAATCACCTTCCTCAAGGACCACTTCTTCACTGCGGAAGTCAAAACCTTAATTTTCCTATCTTAAATAGAAAAGCCATGAGATATCATAAAACACTCTCTCGTCACAATGGTTAATCATAAAAAATCAACCTTGCACAGGCGTTGTGGAAAAATCAGGTTTGCCTTGAGAGATGGTTCTCTGGAGGTAGGGACAATTCTTCTCTGGGCTCCTTCGTTTTATCTGGCAACCTTATTCTGAGCAGAGGATGAAATGAGGACATCTGGGGATAAGAGTAAGGCATCATTCCTACCGTCAAGAATTTTATGGTTCTGGTGTTAGAATGACAGATAAGAGAAAAGTGAAGAAAAAAATGAAGAGGAAAAACAGATGAGGGAAAAACCAAGTGCTTCCACCAACAGTCTAAGGAGCAACTCCACAGTCAGGCAACCTGGACATCAGGCCTCTGTGTGCTGCAGAAGGATGGTCAGCAGTGGCCCTTGTGTCTGGGTGTGAGCAATGGTACTGCCTGGACATTTGGCTGTCTCCTGCCTGTCCCAACTACCAGACTACATTGCTCAGTCACTTTGATGGGCAGGCATTTATTTGACTGTTGAGAGCCCTTTTGTTTATCATCCTCTCATTCTATCGGGGTATTTCTCTGCTTTTGCCATCACCATAGAAAGGCCTAGATATCTGTGTGTAGTAGGTGAGGGAGGAAGATGCCTTCACAACAAAGGCCCTGAAAGTCCACTTGAGAATTTTAACCTTTACCTCTTGCTTCTCACAACCAGCACACCCTTAAAACATTTACAAAATAGTAGCATGTTTCCATCCTTACTCTCTTCTGTTGGCAAGGCTGAAGATGGAAGTAAATTTTCCATCTTAATTCTCTTTCTGTATTATCTGTTCTTTGTGTCTCCGAGTCTTTCTTCTCTATTATCTTTGAAACATTCCTTTGGATGTAGGCCATCCTTTTTTCTCAAACTTTTCCTCTTTTTCCTTCTTGACTCGCAAACCTTCTCTTTAGGAAATGACCCATGTAGTTGTTCACCTTAAGGATGCTTTGAAAGCCTCTGAAATTATCCCAGGGAACATGCTGTCTGTTGGGAACTGCTCTGTCTTCGATATGTAAAAGTGCCTCTTTGCTCACCTGGACTTTGATGGGCTCCATCCAGTGCTCCAGAGTGTCTGCAGTGATGTTGACAGGCAGAATCACTGGGTCACGAGGGGGCACTACACATGATGGGGTGCACACTGCGCCTGAAGAAACAGAAATTTACAGCACACACTTGACTTCCCGGATCTCAATCTTTTTCATTTGAAATCAACAGTTTTGATTTTCCCTCAGCAATTCCTCTCTATGCTATGGGTCATCATTATCATGGGTATGGGCAAGAATGATATTCCTCTTGTATGCACCTGTAAAGATACTTTATACACAAATTAGTGGAGGGCCTCTGCCCCCAAGTTAACACTGTGTGCCCCAAGTGACCACTCCTCTTTCTAGATTCCTTTGGGATCTCGGAATCTCTTCATGAGCCAGCAGTTAAAAGATTAACTCCTGGTCCAGCTGATCTCCAGGATCCCACTCTGGAACTCTGTCTAGCCAAGATCTATCCTGATTGGTTGATGCATATTAAGTACATTTAATATTATTTCTGCCTCTAGGATCATCTAAAGCATCTACTATCTAAGAACTTTACTAACTGACCCATAAATTTTGAAGGCAGATTAGTAATTTCTACACTGATGATCGTTATGCTGGCAGCCTTGCAAGAAAATGATGTGATTAAAAGAAGAAACCAGGGGAGATCCAAAGCAGAGATTCTGGTCACATATTGGCCTCTTAAAGGAAAATCTTGGATTCCACTCTTTTGTAGATGGAGTCCAATTGTCTCCCAAAATTCAATTCAAAGAAGGTACACTCCAGGGTTTTCTATTTCCTCATCTATAGATTTGATGATCTCCAAGTTTCTTTTCAGCTCTTACTATCTCTGTTTTTATTTTTATTTTTTTCTAACTTGTATAATAATTCAAAAAGCCACATGACTCTGAAGAACTCTATATATGTTAATACATGACCTATTAATGTAGAAATTGGAGGGTAGAAAGACGAGAATTTGCTCATGAAACATCACTTGAGAAGCATAGTCCAAGCTCCCCACTGCCTGACCTCAAGATATCTCAGTGCAAAGGGCAATTTGAAGAGGGCAAAGAACCATCTCAGAAACTAATAAGCTTTCTCATGAACTGAACTCAAATTATATCCACTGGCATTAAAAAGTTAGAATGGCTTATAAAATCACTGCTTACTTGTACAGTTGGCATTACTCTCACAAGGTTTTCCACTAACAGCATCTCTTTCCCATGATGCTTTGATCTAGCCAGGACCAAGGTGAGTCCACATCACTATAAACCAGTTCTGGCCACGGAGACCTTTAATTGCCATTATTTAAGAAATTGCCCAGAGGCTCTGGAGCCTGGTCCTCTACAGAGAAAGAATGGCTGAAGATCACACAAGCAAACGCAATCTCAAATCGTCCCTTTCAGGAACTCTCTCCTACAGCCACACTGCAGAAGAGCCTAGCACTTGCTGGGTGTGTGGCTCCACCTTCCCACCTCTCCTCTTGGAACTGCAACTCCTCCCCAAACTCATCCACCTTCAGCCTGCAGTGAAATAGGTAACATGACTAGACACTAAGCAAATAGCCCAGCAGCTGCACCAACATTATACACACATGGAGGAGTAAAATAAATGTATTTGTTATAGATTTCTATTTTATTGAAGCAGCTCAGAGTCAACTGCATATCCATACACTCCTCAGGGAGAACACTGGATCTATTCAAGATTCAGCCAGGCCTAATAAAAAGATTACTTGGCAACAGAATCCACATCTCTTCTTGAACTTACCAATCCCATAGCCCTGTTCACACTTGTATTCCACAAAGTCCAGCTCCGAGGGTGGTGGTGGACATTCCCCTTGCAGCTTCTCACACAACTTGAACTCCTCACTCCACAGTCCTTCCTTCGTGCAGAGGATGGGAAGCTAGAAGATCAAAAGTAAAGAAAAATTTCATTATTGTGTTAACTGCATCTAGACTGGGGAAAGGGGGTGTAATCAAATGGTAGTGTTCTCTAACTTCTAGAACTTAGAATAAAAGACACTCTTAAAATAATAAGCCATGTTGTTACTAACCAAAAAAATGTCAGGACAAATTTTTAATGTTTTCATGTGAAGGAATCACGAAGAATTTTGTCATCAATTTATTTATGATGTGTTTTCCTTTGGCTATAAATATAGGATGAGCTATCCACTGTAGCCTATGTATTCTGAGATATTTTTGGAAATTTTTTTTCTGCTGGTGCTATTTTGCTTTGAATCACCCATACTGTCACACAAATATTGTTTGTGGCAAATGTCAGGCTTTTTAAAAGATGAATTTGATCTAGTGAAACAAACTCACAAAATTTTGAAGGTACTTTTTGCCTTTCTGCTTGAATGCATACAACAGAGTTACTTTGGATCTCACTGAACTTCTGTTGCTTTTCCACATGTGTGCTGGTTTGTGTGACTCTTGGCTTCACACCTCCAACACAAAGTATCCTAAATGCAAAGAACATACAGAATAGCACTAATTCATGAAAACCAAGAAAGTGAGTTTTGGAATTACAGATAACTCTCCCTTCATCTGGCCAACTTCATGAGTCCTTAAAGAGTCAGTGCAAACAGATGTGTCTGATTTTTTGTCATATCCATAGCATATTCTTTTCACATCTATCCTACAATGCTCATCTTAGAGTGCTGATTACTGAGATACAGACATGTGCCAGGAGAGCAGCCAAGGTCACTGACCTTTGCCTAGAGAACCTGGTTAACTTCCTGTTTCATGTATAATGTGGTACTTATAAAGATTCCAAAATAAAATTGATCTTAATCATATAACCATAAGACTATAGTTTTCACTCTTAGTCAAAGTCCTAGAGAGAATAAAAGTACCACTTTCAGCTTTGCCTTTATTGAGGAATTCATATGTCTGTTCAGGACTCTGTTCCATTGAAGAAAGTAATATTGATATTCCTAGCCATGTTAGGTCAGTGGCCACACATGGAAGGAAATCACATTGTTGAATCAGAACCCCAGCATTTTTGGAATTTATCAAGGTATCCAAATCATCAGGTTTTTCTTCTTATGCAAAAAAAAGTTCTTAAAGAATATCTACCCCCCCAAAACAAACAAACAAACAACAACAAAAAAACATGGTATCTTCTGAACTCCCTATGAAATTATATCAATACTCTGGTTAGAATCCCAACTTAGTAAGGCCCTGTGTATTGGAATTCACTTATATAATTTCTACTCAACATTCTTGGTCATTAAGATTAGGGTACAGCCTGATCCAAAACACAGTTCAAGTCATCCTTACCCTTTCACTTTCCTGGTTACAGTTGAGCACACATTGGCTGTCGAGCTCAAAGCCATTGGTACATTCGTACATGCCTTCAAACACAGGAGGTGGTGGCTCACACACCACTGGGATGCAGCTACCTTGCTCCCAGGTTCCATCCTCCAGACAATGTATCTTCAGGAACTTTCTGATAAGATATAAAACATAATAGTCCATCAGACTGATTCACAAAGGTCATGGAAACACTGGATAATTAGTACTATATGATAAGAATTAGCAAATAGGCAGGGGCAGTTGGATTTGGTTAGCCAAATGACCTATCCCTCCAATCTAATGTCTAAGACATGGAAGTAAAAATAGCAATGTACACTTAATAGTGATAGTAATAGCTTGTGTATAGTAACCTTTGATTTAGAGCTCTCAAAAGAGATTGGTAAATATCAGTGCAGGGTCTAGATTATTTACAGTTGGATTTTTCTCTAAGTCTTTCATCTTGGAGCAGTCTCACATCTAAATGCACTGGTAGGCTGGAATACAGAGATGGTTATCACACACTCAGGGGACCACCCAGGAGGGATCAGAGGGTCATCAGTGTTACTATGGTGATATAACTGAAGTTGCCAATATTTACTGGTTCTCCAGAGAGGGTAGATGATGCAGTTTTATGAGTCTTCTTTTAAAACAGAAGCTCTCACCCTGAACTTCAGAAGGGGTAAAGCCTTGCTGGAGATAACCATGGTCATTTTGTTTGTTTATAGTTGATATTTTTCCTTGGAAAGTATTTGTGGCTTTCATCAAATTCTCAAAGTAGACATGACTCAACCCTGTCCTGAAAGACTTGCCCTCCCTTCTCATGCAGAGACATGGCCAGAGAGACTGCATTGGAAGTGGATGGTAACCAACAGAATGAGGTCTTGCTACTGAGAATTCCATCCCTTTCCTCTTCTGACTCACTGCCAATTTTAAGGTTCTTTCCATTTTGCAGTTTCAATGAATCTGCTTCTGATTCAAAACATTCCTAGGTACAGATAAGCTTGTGACTCTAAAATAGAAATAATCCTTTGGCCATTGACTCACCCATATGGTGACCTTAAGTTGCTATTTCCAAGTATCTGAATGTCCTTTGTAAATTAAATATGCCCATCATCCACACACTTTTAATTGGTTACTGTACAATCTCTCCTGTGTATTTCTCCAATGTTCAAACTTTACACTAGTGTAGCATTTACCACATTGCTTCATATATGTGCACATCTATCTTTCTCAGTAGGTCAGAAGCTTCCTGAAGACAAGAAATCTTATTCTTGTTTTTTTCATTCATGGGAACTAAATAATACTGGCTTATACTAGGCATTAAATAATATTTGCAAAATTGAATAATTTAATCCAAATTTCCATTGTATTAGGCTCATCGTAGAACACATTACATAGTTTTAAACAACTGAATAATTAGAATATACTTAAATAAATGGTTTTGTTGTTCTCATGTTATAAAGAAACAAACTTGCTAAAGGTCCTATAACACAACATGCATTTGGTTTAAAATAATTTAAATAAAATTTAATAGTTCGACATATCCTATCTAATAAAAGCATGATATAAAAATTAACCATCACTCTGCTACACCCACAAACCACACCCACCAGCCAATCAGGAACAGGTATGCAAATTAACCCAACCAAGATGGCCACGGACATGGAGCAAGCAGGAGGCTTGGGTTTCCCAGATAATGGAGGAAGCCAAGCTTTCCACACACCCTGGCTGGCCTAGGCCTCCACTCAAGGCTACAAAGTTTCAATTATAGAAGATAAATAAATCCCACTGTGTCAGGCTTAATTACCCTTTTATGCTTTACAGTCCACTTTTAATATTTTTTAAATATATATTTTATTGATTTTTTACAGAGAGGAAAGGAGTGGGATAGAGAGTTAGAAACATCAGTGACAGAGGAACATCAATCAGCTGCCTCTTGCACACCCCCTACTGGGGATATGCCTGCAACAAAAGTACATGCCCTTGACTGGAATCAAATCTGGACCCTTCAGTGTGCAGGCCGACGCTCTATCCATGAAGCCAAACCAGTTAAGGCACACTTTGGATATTAATAGCATCTCTCTCCTACTGAGTAACCCAGACGTCCTTTATCTTGATGCCTTATTTATCAGTGTGGCAAAAACAGAAGATCCACTTAAAACTTTGAATTGAGTAATAAATTACATTGACAACATTAGGCAAATCTTAGTAGACAGCTCAAGGAATTTTATATGTGCACACACCTGGGGAACCATGGTAACCATCACTCAGATCAAGACACAAAGCATTTCTAGTCCCTCTATGCTTCCATGGTGTTCCTTCCCAGTTAAACCTTCCCACTCGCCTGTAACCCGCATTATTCTTTCATCAGCATAAATTAGTTTGGCCTGTTCTTGAATTTTAGATCTATGAAATCACACACAATGTATTCTCTGGTATATGGCTTCTTTCCCTACCTGTATCTGTCATCTTAAGATCTCTTCCCAAATGCACTTTCAATGAAGGGTTTGCTGTTGTTTTTACCTAAGGAAGCTCCTTTTTGTCTCTCCTGGACTGGATACTTTACTCTTCTTCCCCCTAAAGAGTGTATATCCTCCCGGGAACTTTCTCCTTCCCACTACCTCCCACAGATAAAACCCTTTCCTTACCTCTGCTGAACCGACATCCCGCTGCTGGAGAGAGCAGGCAATACCACTGACATCAGGGAGAGCGAGGCTGTGAAACCCTGCATGTCAGCATGGTTAGAAAAGAAAACCCTCGCTTGGCCAGGATGATACTATTTTGACTTCATGTGGTATTTTTCTCTGAAATGATTGGAACACCTCAACCAGGAAAACAGTCCTCTCTTTCCTTACCCAGAGTGAGGAGCCATTCAACAATGCTGATTTAGTATAGTCACTTGCCAGTTTAATAACCTTAGGGGTGAGGGGAGACAGATCAAACTTGGATGGTACAGAGCAAGGTAGGTGTAGTGGATGGTGCCCGGACATTGTGATAAGTCCTGTGCTATAAACCAACAGAGTATCAGTAAAACAGAGGAAGTGGAATGCTGGAAGGTAGAAAGGGAGGCAGCATAATTCACAATGTGCCCCTGGACCCCAATAGGAAGCACCACAAGCAGAAATGACGACAGAAGGGAGAGAGTCCTGACTCCCTAGGATATACAGTTTCCTTTCTACATGTGATTCCCCACAGATTCTCCTACAATTTCTTCTCCCTTGTATAGGGATGGCCTCCTAGGGCCATCTCTCCATAAGCCTGTCACAGCTTCTGCATGTCATGTCTCTCCTCAGACTTCTTACAAAATGTTCATTCCTCAGGCCCAACAGCCAGGCTATCTCCCTGGCTCCATTTCGACACCTGTCAATGCTGTTTATGGAATTTATCCTGAGATCCTATGGTATGGACCAGGCACATGAATGCCATGAGCTGGTCCTAGCCATGTTGCCTGTAATTGCGTCAGGAACTCGGAATATCTTGGGGTCCTCCAACCTCTAGGAAATGTGGTTTCTGCTCAGGGCCTTTGAAGAGGACTAACGCCTCTGGCAGGACTCTGACCTTCAATGGCAGGACTCTGACCTCCAGTGGAGCCACGGCCGCCTTTTCTAGTTTGGTGATGTTGAGGAGTGACCACTGACTTTATTTTGCTAATCCTCACCCAATGATTTTTTTCTTTCATTTTTAAAAATTCTTTATTGATTAAAGTATTTCATGATTCCTTTTTCTCCCACTGACCTTTCCTCAGCCACTCTCACACCCCAGCACATGTCCTTAATAAAAAACAAACAAACAAACAAACACACACACCTAGATTATTCACAATGTTTCATAGCCTCTATGCATTAAGAGCCAAGTGGCACTGTGAAGTCATTGAAGTGAATGAGTTTGCATTTCTAAGAATGAAGGCATTGGATACTAGACCAATGCACGTGGACAAATCCTCACCAGGACAGAGATCCCAAGACTTCTTTGATAGTCTAGTCCAGGTGTTGCAGGTTGAAATAGGGCTCTTCTGCCGAGTCAAGAGAAAAGCATTTGGTGACCCATGCATGGGAGGATGAGACGCAGTGGTGAAATTTATTGAAGCTGGAGCAACCACAAAGAACTGTCCCCAGGTGCCCAGAATCTATGTCTCATCCACAGCCAGGAAGAAGTCCAACCTTGTTTTCAAGCACAGAAGGGCCAGGGTCCAGAAATTCTGTGCCATTGGTTCAATCCATGCCAAAGCTCTTTCCCCATCTAGCTAGCTTAATATCTGTTCCCATCTATGCTTCGGCCTGCATTGCTATACCTAGGCCCACACTTAAGAGCCACACTTGAGGCCCACACTTGGACTGCCTCGGCTGCTGGGCCTGCATGGCTAATAGAGGGAACACAGGAACAAATAAGGCACCTGCAGGAACAATGCATGAATGCCACCAATATAAGCTTTCATTACATTACCTGGGGCTTGGGAAAGACCATACATCCTTTCAAACTAACCAATCTCTTACTCAGTCCTTCGGGGACTTGTGCTGGGCCCTCCCCATAACTAATCTGGTATTTTACCCAGATTAGACACCTCCCCTTTATGGTCACTGCTTTGGCAGCTACTGTGCATGCCTCAAAGTAGAAGGACCTCCCCCTGTGCAATCTTGGCTTTCACTGGGCACATGCCCAGTAGAGAAATTCCACCCACCCTCCAAAATGGCACTACCAGGCTCACTGACACGTTAAGTCCCTTCAGAAAAGAGTGGATGCTGTGACTTCCTACTGAATGAGGCTCAGTGTCTGATCTTAATAACTGATTCCATTTGCTTCCTTTTTTTTTTTTTATTAATATCTAGCTAAGACAAATGCCTTTCCCATTAAACATTCTAGTTGCTGCCTATCGGCTCAGTATATTTTCTTTAGCTTAGTGGAGTAAAAGAAGTGAAATTATCTCATTTTACAGGCAAGAAACTGCATATTAATAACCACGAGGTGTCTTGACCAAGGCCACATAGCAAGCAAGCCACTGGCTAAAGCAAAAAGAGAATTCAGAATTTTGAAATTATGATATAACACCTTGACCATTAGACCAATGGCTACCAAATGACATTTGTAGAAAGATTATGTGGAAACCATTTATAAATAAATAAATAAATAAATAAATAAATTAAAAAAACACTTTTG